AAATAATGTATATTCACACAATCCAATTTTGTTTTCACTTACATCCTTGGAAAAAAAAAATAGTTTTTTGTTTACAAGTTATTCTCTATTCAAAAAATTGACAGAGTGTCTTCATATTCACCATAGTCATATCCTAGTTGCTCTTATTGGGTTTCTTAACAAAATTCCATGAACTTTCACTATGTCTTCAACTGATTCACAAAAGCGGCAATACGAGCACCTTTCTTTGCCACCTTGTACGGTCCTCTGAATTACATTTGTCATATTATTGCATTTACCACATATGTGCATTTGTGAGGGTTCACTAAGTGTGAAAAGCCGTTCATGCAAATTCACTGCAGCCCCATGAGCTATAAGACAATCACCCTCCATTTCACCAAATTTAATTCCACCAAAGCGTTTTCTGTCACACACGGGTTGACAAAGTTTAGTACTATGATTTTTTTAGCAACTCCCATCTTCTTTCATAAGAAAAAAATAAGAAAATGTTGGCAAAGACATGCTTACTGGTGTGCAGCTAGGAATTCGTGGGAAGCAAAGATAATGAATGAGAAATCCAAAAAACTTCATATGTGACAGAGAGTGGCCACATCAAATACTCGAGCCCCAGGACAATTTTACTAAAAGTTAGATTTATCAACTAGTAAGAAGAGCAAATTTTCCAGAAGCTCGAGTGTTTGATCTGGACACTTTCCTTCACATATGAAGTATTTAGACTTTTCCTTCATTATCTTTGCTTCCCATGAACTCCTGCTACACCCAATAAGCATGTCTCTGCCAACATTTTCTTGTTTTTCTTTGAATATAAATTTAAAGAAATATGATAGAAGTCTATGGATGACAATGAAAATTTTCAAGTGAAGAGATCATTAATATAGCCAAAGAGTTGTAACGACCCAACCGGTCGATTTGAGCTCCGGCACGTCATTCAACAGTTTGAGACCATGAACGGCTTTATCTCAGGTATATTGACTTGTGTGTATGGTCAGAATTAAAATTCAGGAAGTTTGGAGTCAAATCTAAATGGAAATTCTCATTTTGAAAGCTTAAAATTGAAGAAATGAACTAGGATTGGAATTTTGAGTAAACGACCTCGGAATTGGGATCCGAAGGTTCCAACAGGTTCGTATGATGATTTCGGACTTAGGCGTATGCCCGGATCGGGCTTTGGATAACCCAGGAGCGTTTTGGCGCCTATAGTGGAAGATAGCATTTTAGAAGAAATTGCATCAGTTTGGTTTAAAATGCATTTCAGTGTTATTGATGTCCGTTTGGGATTCCGAGACTGGGAGTAGCTCCGTATGGTGATTCTGGATTTGGGAGCATGATCGGAAGTAAATTCGGAGGTCCGTAGGTCATTTTGGAGTCGTTCGGTTAAAGATGGAAAATTGAAGGTTTTTGAGAAAATTTGGCCGGAAGTGGAAATTTTGATATCGGATTGAAATGCGAATTTTATGGTTTGGATAGCTTTGTTAGGTTATTTGGGACTTAGGAGTGTGTCCGGAATATCTTTGTGTTGAAATGTATGAATTATGGGAAAAATTTGAAATATTTTGATATTTAATATTGTTAAAGTTGACTTTGGTTAACATTTTTGGTAAACGGACCCGGACCCGCGATTTTTCGGTCTCAAAAGGTCCATAGAAAAATATGGGAGTTGAATGTGTTTCCGTAATCGAATTCCGAGGTCTTAGGCCCGAGAAATGAATTTTTTCGTGAAATTGTTTTCTGAAAATGTTTAAGAAAAATGAAAATGAAATTTGATCAGAAAGTAATGATATCGGGCTCGTATTTTGGTTACGACGCCCGGTACAGGTCATATATGTTGGTTAAGCGCTTCCTGTAAAGTTTGGTTACAAACGGACGTTGTTTGACGGGTTTCGGCCTTAAATTGGAAAATTTGAAAGTTTATGTAATTTGAAAGAATTCTTGGATTTATGGCTCAAATCATTGATTTTGATGTTATTTTGGCGATTTGATCGCTCGAGCAAGTTCGTGTGATGTTTTAGAGTCAGTGTTCATATTTTGTTTGGAGCCCCGAGGGCTCGGGAGTGTTTCGGAGGTGTCTCGGAGTGATTTCGGACTTAGGAAAAATTGCAGAAAATTCTGTTGTGCCCAGAAAATTTTAGGTGCGAGTAGTCCAGTTCGGAAGCTCATATCTTGTAATATATAAGAATTCAGAAAAAGTGCAAAACACGAAAGTTGTAGCTCGTACATTCTAGTTTTCGGAAAGTTAAACCATTTGCGATTTGGATTTCATTTCAGAAAGTTACGATGGATCGAAAAGGGCTGTTGGAGCAATTTCGGCAAAATTTACGATGCACTTTAGAAGCTCATATCTCGGGATATATAAAGAGTTATATGGTATACAACCTATCAAATTAAA